CACGTGTTGAATGCCATTGCTCTGTACATAGCTTTCAAACTCCTTACTGGTAAAACAGGACCCACTATCTGCACAAACAGTTTCAGATATTCCGAAAACCGTAAACAATGATCGCATCTTTGAAATGGTTGTTCCAGCCATGGGATGAGACACTGGATAAACATCGATCCATTTCGAATAGGCATCAGCTATCAACAGGAAAAATGTTCCGTCCAAAGGAGCACAACAGTCTGCATGGATACGCTGCGATGACCTTTCAGGCCAACACCTGGTGGTTTATTAGATTGACAAGGTTGACAAGGATCACAGGCTTTCAGGTTGTTTTTAATTTCGGCATCTAAGCCGGACCAGCAGCAATAGCCACGTGTAAGGACCTTCATTGGGGCAACACTTGGATGTCCATGGTGAAGTACATTCAGAATGAAGGGGCGCACTTTCGACGGTGGAACCAAATGTGAGCCCCAACGTAGGCAATCACCGTGCATATTCGGCTCATTTTTCCGAAGCCAAAAAAGTTTCAACTCAGACGAAATCCTACTAGGTCAGCCCAGGTTCGTGAAATGTATATCACGGAGGCTAGTTTGGGAGCCCGATCGGTCCATCGACGCATCACATCACTTGTCAAAGGGGCAGTGTCGAGGTACGGCATCAAATGAACTAACCCCACCGGTTAATCTATTGGTCCTGCGGGGTCGAGTGCGGTAACCGACTCAGGGCATCCGTCGTACAATTGTTAGAGCCTGGGATGTAAGAGATTTTGTATGCAAACGTACTAAGGATTAAGGCCAATCGTTGCATTCTAGGTGAAAAATTTTGATGGATCCCCTTGGATTCACCCAATAAGGACATCAACGGTTTGTGATCAGTTTGGATCTCAAAATGACTGCCCCAAATATACTGGTGCAATTTCTTGACACCAAAGATAACTGATAGGGCCTCTCGATCAACTTGTGAATATTTTTCAGCCGGTTATAAGGCACACGAAGCGAAAGCAATCGGCTGAATTGCACCATTCGGGATTTTATGACACAAAACTGCTCCAACTGCGTCTGGATAAGCATCACACTGAATGATCAGAGGCTTTTTTCTATCGCAGTGAAGTAAAACTGGCGCTGATGCTAAACAGCATTTAGCACGAATGGAAGCGGACTGATGTTCATCATTCCACACCCACTGGGTGTTTTTATGTAACCGGGCGTCCAAAGGAGCTAAGATAGTTCAATAGTTCAATAGTTCAATAGTGTATGATGGGATAAAAAGCATTGGCTTTACAAGACCCATAGGATGGTAAATGCAAAATAAGTACAAATCATTAGATTCCGACATGGAACTGAAATGCCAATAGTCTAAACCTGGTACATTACACCACAATGTGTTGTTTGTCACTCAGATGAATGTCTAACAATTGTTTGAAGGCTGTAATGTTCGGAGCGTTTACCACATGCGTTGGCAAGTCATTCCATTGTGAACAGATTCTAAGAGAGTAAAAATATTTTCTACAGTCTAATCGGGAGTGTTGGATTATCAGCTTGAGGTTATGACCTCTCGATCGCTTATATGAGGCTAGGGTGAGCAGCGATTTGCACGGGTGATCGCTTTCCGTTAATATCCGGTATGCGAGAATGAGATCTCCGCGTAGTCGTCGGTATTCGGAGGAAAACATTCCGATTAAACTGAGACGCACTTCATAATTGAGACCAGATAATCCGCGTGTTGCCTTGGTAGCTCTTCGTTGGGGCTGCTCTAAGAGATGAATGTCTCGTTTTAACCATGGGCACCAAGCCTGGACGGCATATTCGACGTGGGGACGGATATAGGAGTTGACAAGCATGGGTACCAGCCGTCGTTCAAAAACACCAAAAGCTCGCCTCAAAAGTCTCAGGTTCATGTTCGCCACGTTCGCTGCTTTGGAACATTGGAGCGAATTCCCCAGACTTTCTTGCACAATGATACCTAAGTCTTTTTCTGTGGTCACGCGCCGTAAAGCGTACTGCCCCAAGAGGTACGTGTTGGCAAGATTGCTGCGCAATGACAGTAGGTGACACTTGGCAGGATTCAGTGGGAGATGATTTATATCTGCCCATTTGTTGATTCTATCCAAATCATTCTGGAGGAGGGCACAGTCTGATGTTGAGCGAATAACTCTCCAGATTTTTGCGTCATCTGCAAAAATTTGCATCGAGGATTGAATATTATCCGGGAGGTCGTTAATGTAGACCAGAAAAAGGAGGGGACCAAGGACGGATCCTTGAGGAACACCGCTGGAGATGCAGAGGGTTTCCGAGAGGGCATCGGCGACTCTGACCTTGATCGTTCTGTCATGCAAATATGCTGCTAGCCAGGTGAGTAGGGAACCATGGATACCGTAGGCACGAAGCTTATGAAGCAGAGCTAAGTGATTGACTCTGTCGAATGCCTTCGAAAAGTCTAGGTAAATCACATCAAGGGGAGATCCTTCATCAAGTGCTTTGGTCCATGAATCCCGAGCAAGAAGCAGATTTGTGAGGCAAGATCGTTTGCGCCTAAAGCCGTGTTGGAGGTGAGAAATTAGCTTCAGACTCTCAAAATATCGTGTAATTTCATCTGCAACTAACGATTCCATTACTTTTGATAACACAGGGAGGAGAGTAATGGGTCGGTAGTTGGCAGGATCCGATCGCTTACCTCCTTTGTATATCGGAGTGACTATCCCGCTTTTCCACTCAGACGGAAGTGTTTGGGAATTGAGTAGACTTTGGAAAAAGCTTGCGAGGTGTGCTGCTATGGTGGGAGCAAGAGTTTTAAGAACTTTGGGTCTGATCTTGTCGACTCCCGGAGCGCTATTTTCTCTTAGAGACCGTAGTTTGCTAGCGACAGCTGCTGAGGTAAAAGTGACAGTTGATATGCCGACCACGTTGGGTGAATGCTGGTTTGGCAAAGGTTCTATGGCGTTTGCAGTCACTGTGCCAAACTGCAGAAGTAATGCGTTCGCAGCATCCACAGCAGTAGTCGTTAGGCCACCATCCGTCTTGAGTGGTGGTATTCCTGTTTTAACTTTTCTTCTGCTGTTCACGTACCTGTACAGCAGTTTTGTATTGTTCGTGAATTTAAGTACCATGTTTTTTTGCCATTCGTACTTATCGGCTCTAATCAGTGATGTGCAATAGTTCCTCACTATTTTGTAATTCTCCCAGGTGGCGTCGCAATGGTTCAGCGCGTATTGTCTCCAGATCTCGTCTCTGGTGCTAATCCATTTACGCGTTCTGCTTCGGATCCAGGTGTTGGTCCGGCGCGGCACTCGTAATGGTATGACTTTTGACGCTGCTTGCGTGACACCGCTAATTTTGTCTTTTAGTTCGTTCCACGCGTCGTCTGCCGTGCTCTCTAGATTGAGGTCCCAGTTGACGGTTGTCGCTAGGCTGTGCAGCACGGAATAGTTGGTTATAGTTCGTCGGTTTTCATGTCTGATTTCAGTAGTATTGGCGTAACACACATAGGCAAAATTCAACACTGAGTGGTCACTGTTGCCTAATGGTGGATCGTATGAAATTGTCTCAATCATCAACTCTTCGTTGGTTAGGATTAAATCTAGAAGCGATGGCTTATTTGAACCGCGGTGTCTAGTTGGTCGGTGCACGTGGTTGTACAGAGCTGCTGTATCCATAAACTCGAGAATCTTTGATTTGAAGTAAGGACCGCTAGAAGTCGCTGAGACAATTGAGGGTACGTTAAAATCGCCCATGATTAGACAATGTGAGTACTTTTGAGAAACTGCATAATGAAGCGCGTTTAACAGGATGTCATCTTGGTCTGCGGTGGAGTTCGGTGGCCTGTAGACAACTGCCAACAGACAAGCATCCCACGTCTTCTTCGAAGGTTCACCACCTCGGCAATTTAGCTGCATTCGGCAAAACAAAGCGTCGGAGACAGCAAGGTGACGTTCGTTAATAGCCTCACATCTCAGACAATTCCGATAGTACAGAGCAACGCCGCCACCGCGAGATGGACGATCATTGCGAATAACTGACATATCACTGATTTCGATTTCCGTGTCAAGCATGTCATTGGAGAGCCAGGTTTCAGTTACAGCTATGATATCCCAATTGATTGTGTTATGTCGATGGCGCAATTCAGGTAGCTTAGAGTTGAGCCCCTGAGCGTTTGTGTAGCAGCACTGTATCTGTTGACACATTAGGAGCTCGGTTCGTTGTGGTTGACCGGCACAGCTTGTGCCGGTCTGCGTACGTTTTTTGTCACAGGCGTTTGCACATTTGTCTGACCTGATTTAGGAACAACCGAGTCCGGTTCGTCTGTATCTGTAGCCCGTACTTTGTTTAGGAACGGTCTTAAACGTATTTCAGGTGGCCCACGTTTTCTGTTGTCGTGCCACGCTTGGACGGCCGTTGATACCATCTCAGGTGTAGCCACGGTGACTTTCAAAATTTTTGGCCCGTTACCCTGATAGTTTAAGGAGGCCGCTAGACGGGTGACATCGAAAGTCACGATATTTTGTATGTTGTAGAGCTCCGTTATGTACCTCCACTCTTCGATATCGTGCTTCTGATGTTCATTTATATCGCCATGGTTAAGTTCTGGAACACCGTGGACCAGCACTACTTTCTTCGTCGCATCATGTCGTGACGCGACTGGGTCGGATTTCCATTTTTGCCTTTCTATCCATGGTTTATCTGGGAAAATGCGGGCGCTGAGAGAGGAATTTGTTAGCTTGTGGCCTGTCAGGAGCACATCCTCCAGGTCGCGTGTGTTACCAAATGTTACTCGTAATAACCGAGGTTGTCCTAAATGCGGCGAGGATGGATTTCGGGAAATGCGCGTAAGACTAGTTGCAGGAACGTTAATTTCGAGAGCACAGCATATCTCTGCCCAGCGGTTTTGTTCTTCCACTTGCCTACCTTTTAGTGACTCGCTCGTGGGCTCTGGTACATTTGAACACATAATTGTCAGAGCGTTTTTGTTGTACACTAACTGCTTATCCTGAGAGTTGTTACTGGTGGACATTTGTCTAGGTTGACTACTCATCTTGTCCCTTGTGCAGGGAGAGCCTGCGCTGCTACATGGCTGCATACGCGGAACGCCGTTTGTTGTGCTGTTTGTGGGGGTCAAATGTTGCTGTCCAACCCGTGACAGGGTTGAGCGTGCAGTTTGTGCATAGCTGTTTAAGCCTTGAGACACTTCACAAAACTTGGGAGGTCGTTCGACAGGCCTATCTTCGCTGGCGTCCATCAACAATGGTGTGCTATTTTTACCGTACTGTGTGGCTTCTTTACTAAATGGCTCTCGCCTTTTGACAGGTCTGGGATTCGGGCTACTTAATACACTAATCTGCGACTCAAGTTCAGTTGTTTTTTTACCAAGCTAGTAGTCAATTCCTTTAGTTCTGTGACCGTTAGGGCTAAACTTTCACATTTCGCCATAAGCACTTGAATGACCCTAGCCAACGGTTTAGTTGAACATGCGTCACACACACACAAGCCGTCGATCGACATACAGTGTTTTGTAACCCCATCGAAGGAATTGGAACAAAGCGAGCATGTGGTGACCGACGTGTCTGGACCACTATTGACCTTGGACTTCTTGTTCATTGGCGTAGCTTTGAGACTGCGACGGCCCGTCATGTGCACGCGAGGAACAGTGGACATTGGAATATCACAAAGGCTTTGCGTGGCAAAACGCGCTAAGGGAGTTACAGCGGTAATTGCGTGATCACAAAATAGCCTCTATTTGTGGTATCTAGAGGTGCACTACAATAAGTAAGGTGTTGTCTAGTAGCCTTAAAAAAGCTCCGTCGAATGGTATCCCAATGTAGTGGGAAAAATAAAAAACAACGCAGTTTCACAAGCAGGTCTTACCGAATGATCTGTCAAAGACGGTGTTCAGGATTTGCCAGTGTGTCGTTAGTAGTACTGCAGAAAGACTGAATCCGTTGGATAGGTCTCGACAATCCGAGACGATTGAGTGTAATTCCGAAGATGTGGCACAAAATGGAAGGCGAATAGAGAGAAATAACACAAATTATCCAGGAGCGCGCGTCACGCGGTCACGTTGCGTTATCGGATGCCCCCGGTTAAAAATGACGATACTGTGATAGCCTTCCTAAGAATGCTTGGAGTTCATCAACATTCTTGGGCTGCGGTGCCTGTATAATCGGGGATACTTTATCCTACAGAACATGCAGACCTCTTTTATCAAGTTTGTAGCCAAAATAACAAACAGATTCAGACAAAATCTCACATTTAGATTCCTTCAGTTTCAATCCATTCGATTCCAAACGTTCCAACACTGTCCGAAGTGTCTAAATGTTCAGCACCACTTCGGCTAGAAACCAGGATATCATCCAAATAAGCACAAGTAAGGGGTATATGCTTCACGATGTCATTCACAACCCGCTGGAAGATGTTAGGACGGAGCTTATACCGAAAGGAAGACGGATATACTGAAGTAGTTTAAGATGTGTAGTTATGGTGCTTACCTCGCGTGAGTCCTCATCTTTAGCATATGCGTGACTAAGATCAAGCTAAGAAAATTTTTGTACACCGTATAACGTGGCGTACAAATCTTTGATGCGGGGCAAAGGATACCTTTCCACTTTGATAGCTTGATTGACAGTTAACTTATAGTCTCTACAGATACGAACGGCAACGTCAAGTTTGAGTACAGGAACAATTGGGGTACCCCAATCCGAGTGTTGCATGGGCATGATTACACCTTTAGATTGTAACCGTCGTAGTTCTACTTCAAATTTTGGACGCATAGCGTCCGGTAATATTAGTGCATTGTACAACCTGGCATTGGTGTTCTCCCGTAGATTGATGGAAGCTTTAAAATGTTTCAGCTTCCCGCAAATTATTTTCGAATAAATAAGAAAATTGATTCAAAAGATCGTTTAAACTGCTGTCACTGATCACGACCTAATTAGTCTGCATCGTTTCTGGGAAGTATCGGATCCAATTTCTGCCCAAGAGATTTGGTCTTTTCCCAGGTACCACCATCAAACGTAGTCATTTCTCGCTCGCTGTGCCTGACTTTAACCATTCACTTTTTCAAGACCCTAATCGGGTCTTCCGTGTAGATGGGCAATTTGGAGTCACATGGTTGTAAAGGTGGCAGACTCTTAAGTGAATCACTGTTTATAATAGCAACTGCAGACCCTGTATCCAGCTCCAAATCGATCGATTCATTCTTCATCATCAAATGAATCGTATATCGAGGGCACTTGTCGGGTGATACGGTATTCAAGTAGACGGAATTTAGATCGTTGTTTGGGTCTTCCAGAACGTTTTTCTGCGTAAGCGACTGCTTATTATGGTGTCTCGCTTGGGTGAGATTCATCAGTGGGGCGAGTTCGGATCTGCACACTTGAGCTAGGTGGCCTATTTTTCCACATTTTCGGCGGTTGCTTTCGTTGTGGCAACACTCAGAAACAGGAGCATGCTACATCCCGCAAAGATAGCACGCGAACTGTTTTCGAGGTTCATCTGGAGTCCGTGGTTTACCAACTGCGTGAACAACATCGACAGCTGGATGGGCAGTGAACTCACGTAGCTGGTGCGAGATATCTTCCCTTTGGCGAACGACTAGACAAGCATTCTCGCACGTGGTAGATGACCCGTTCAAAGATAACAGTTTTTTCCGTGCATTTTCTTCAGAATCTCCGCAAGTAAGCACTGTATTTTCATTTCTTCTTCAAAGTGGTCGGGCGGAATTCCACTGTATTAGCACTCGGGAATAAACTGATGGGTGTGTGCAACGAAGTCGTTGGCGCTGTCGTTCGGTTTCTATACAAACTTTTAAAAGCAGTATCTCGCAGTATAAATATTCCGTTTCAATGCCCACAATGTGGTATAGTTATCCAAGGCCGATATAGTAGTGTCACAATTTTCTACCTATAGTGCATCATAATATGGCTGTCCTTCATCTCCCAGCGCTTGTCTGAATAGTGGTGTTTTGTGGGACTCTGAAAGTGAAATCATAGGATTCAAAACAGGTAGCAGTTGCAGATAGTTAATAACTGATTTCTTCCACCTCTTCCAGTTTGGTAAGGTCGGTTTTTCCTCAGCGGAAGATCAGAAGTTAACAGGTGGATTAATGATTGGGTTTATCAGGCGAAGCAGTGCAACATGTCTCACATGACACACGAGTTAAAGCATGAACGAGGAGCTACTGATTGGTCAATGCAAGGAAAACCAATAAGCAGGCGGTGTGGCTAATCTATCATCATCATCATCATCATCAACATCATCATCATCATCATCATCATCATCATCATCATCATCATCATCATCATCAGCATCATCATCATCATCATCATCATCAGCATCATCATCATCATCATCATCATCAGCATCATCATCATCATCATCATCATCATCATCATCATCATCATCATCATCATCATCATCATCATCATCATCATCATCATCATCATCATCATCATCATCATCATCATCATCATCATCATCATCATCATCATCATCATCATCATCATCATCATCATCATCATCATCATCATCATCATCATCATCATCATCATCATCATCATCATCATCATCATCATCATCATCATCATCATCATCATCATCATCATCATCATCATCATCATCATCATCATCATCATCATCATCATCATCATCATCATCATCATCATCATCATCATCATCACCAGTGCGGGTTAGCTGAGGGTAACCAGCACACCGCAGCTAATGTGCCGTAATACAAAAAGTTGAGCGACTACGTACAAAACGATAAGAGACTAAAGACTAAACTAAGTATTCAATATCACTGACGGATGTTACAGTCGTTTTAGTTGAATTTTTGGTTAGCTCGGATTTTGTTGTTATTCTCAACTTCTCAATTTCTATAATACCTTGAACTTGTCAATTAGTTTAGAAGTGCATTTCCGATCTACCGTATAACACGCGACGATTTTCTTATGTTGTGCGATTTTTCGGTACGCATTGTTCAGACAACCTGGTGGTCTATGCCTCGCACCGCCTAGGAATATAAAGTTTTTTTTAGTTATCTGCGTGTCGTCAGTTTAAGCGCCAACCGCTTTAAACGCGCTTTTGCAAGACGACAGTGTGAAACATGATTTGGATGTTTGCACATAACACTATGTGGTTCAGTTATAGTTAAGATTTTCTGGGATGAAACATAAAGCTCGCTCGTGCACCACTCCCCAGTAGTAAGGTAAAAAATAAATCCAGTAACATGGTATTATAAAAACATTCCAGTATATTACAGTTTAGATAGCGAAATGGTGGGAGCCAAGAATAATGTCCAGTCGTTTTTTGAAGTGATCCAAGGTAGAGAAGTTTGTTTCTGCTCGTTGTGATCGCTCGCTCTCTTCACATGCTATTTGGAAGTTTGTCACAGACCGTCTGACGCAGAACAAGACTGTAGTAAGTCGCGTCTTCCATGAGTATGATTTCACGCTCTCCACACTCCTGTCTACCATTTGTCTCGGAAGGTGTGATGTGTCGATGGAAACACTTGTTGAACGAAGTCCTGAAGGGACAAGGAAAGACGGAGGCAAGTTATCGCACTGACATTCGGTAACCTGAGATGGGACATCCGGATTCACTACATCACTTACTGAGGAGTGCTAGCAGCGTGAACTCCTTGTTTTTGTTTTTATTCGCCTCTGCCTAATTGTCCTTCCACGCGATCTTTTTAAGATTCGCTTTCCACCTTTACTCGGTAAACTTCTGCTTATGTTTGTTTCATCATCGTTGGCCTTACCAGTACAGCCATGGGAGTCAAAACAACTGGATCCATCACCATTCGAGGTAGTAGACATGGCCAGTAATCTGGACAGCGCTAACCTGCTTCAGCAACTTACCGGTTGGTCCATCAGATCGACGGTTTGAGTTAGATCGGAATGCTTGTCAGTGTGCATGGTTAACCACAGTGTGGTCACGAATCCACGCAATTGTCACTGTTGTATGTGATGCTAGCTAGACACTATGAAATAGTATGTGAACAAAGGCAGTGGGCACGCAACTAATAATATGCTACAAAGATATCAATAGTACAGGGAAGTGGTCATGATCCCCTGAGGTTGGACGGCCCACAAACGATTGGTCCAGACGGAAGTTGCTCTTGCGCCACTACAACTGCGACACGGAGAAGTGCCAATGGTAGCTGCAGCCAGTAAAGAGCGAACGGCATGCAGCCAATGCGATTCGGCTCACGGAACAGTGCCGAGCAAGCAATGAAGCTACGCAGAAACTACATTAACGGTGGAGCATCACACTAAGTTGCGAATCTAGAAAACAAATAGTCCGGTTGCTAATAACTTCAATCAACTTCCTCCATTTGTGTTGGTTTGAAGAATTATCTACTAACTTATCCCCATTCTGTCTCTGTGGACAGGAGCATGGAGCAGTGATCAAGTGCCCGAGATATCTTAAGCTTGACTGAATCGCGCTCCTGTTTGGAGTAGTGTTGTACGTTGTTTTACTGGCAGATGTTGATCTGACGAGAAGATTTTGCCATCTAACTTGTGGTTCCGTATGACTGTCTTGCGTGTGGACAATGGTTCTCACTGCATTTTCCAAATCGGTACTTTGGGAACACATTGGTCAAGTAGACAGAAGGCATTTGCTTCCAGACTTCGGAGATCATATCTTCCTGACGGTTTCCCCTATGCTAACTTCGTTGCTTCAGGTTAACTGGGTAGCTGTCATCTGTATGAGCCTCATGGTTACACAAAGTGCCTGCAGTCTGCCTGATGCGTACCACACTTCAAGCAAGAACATGAGGA